CAAGGCAGAAGAAAAACAAATTAATTTGAGGTTTCACATTTAACGTGTTGAATCATTTTCAGGCAAACCTCGGACACGGAATCGTGCGAGATTCTGCACGAGAATCGCAGCCAGATGCATGCGCTGGCCATGCTGGAGCTGCATGCGGCCAAGGAGCAGCAACAGCAACAGCAGCAGAGATCGCATCGGCAGCGTCCGCGCTCGAAGGAGCTGCAGCACAGTTACGAGAGCCTCGACAGGCTGGATGGTTCGATGCAGCAGCAGCAGTCGCAGCGGCAACGACACCATCATCACCATCTCCACCACCATCAGCAGCGGCAACAGCAGCAACAGCAGCGCTACAACCATGTGGAGCAGGAGGAACGCGATGATACGGAGGACAACCTGGCCGATGAAGAGTTCGAGGATGATGAGGTGGGGCGCGACGTGCGACAGAAGCGCCTGCAGCAGAGCGAGCACAACAAGCAAAAGAATGACAAGCAGCAGCAGCAGGCGCAGAATGAGGAGCTGGATCAGCAGCAGGAACAAATGGAGCAGGAGCACGAGCAGCTAAGGGGGGAGACGGCGCCGCTGACCAATGGCAGCATGCGCATGGAGGCGAATGTGATAAACGATGAACTGAAGTATGGCGCGGCCCATCACAACCACCAGTCCATGGACTCTAATCCGCTGGAGAGCCAATCGGAGTGGTCGGACGATGATTGCCGCGAGGAGGCCACAGGTAAATAAACCAGCAATTATTGTGCGATAACAAACCATAACTTCTCTACTCTTCTTTCTCTCTCTATCTCGAAGGCGGCGCAGAGTCAACAGGTTATATAACCGATGAGCCTGGCCTGGAGAATATCTCGCTGTTGAACGAGGCGGGTCTGACCGATGCCGAGGGCGCCTTATCGGATGTCAACTCGCTGTATAATGCGCCCGATGTGGATGACACCTCGGTGTCGAGTCGGGCCAGCTCGCGCCTGCTTAGCCTGGACTCGCTCAGCGGGCTCTACGATTGTGATTTGGACTCCAAGCATGAGCTGGCCATTGTGAATGCCTCGCACAAGATAACCAGCAAGTTTGGACCACCGCCGTCGCCGGCACAGCATCAGCAGCAGCCATCGGCAGCAGCAGCAGCAGTTGCAGCAGTAGCCGCTGCTGCAGCAGTAACTCAGGCAGCAGCAGCACAGACGCCGGAACAGCAGCAACAACAAAGTTAAAGAGATTTGTACTTAAGATTGAAAAGAAGGAAGCTAATGAGCACGCATAGGAAACCAGAAAAACAGAAAACCAGCACTCAAAACGTTGTTACTGCTAACTGCAAATGGTGTCTATTAATTTACAATACTACAACTACAACAAAGTTTGTTAAGATATATATATATATATATATATATATACCCTATATAGATATGCATATATTTACATATGTGTTGTACAGGAAGGAAAACAGAATCGAGACACAAGTTCTCATGGGCTGCTTTTCATTTCTTCTACTTATGGTAGCTAACGGCACTCTCTTATATATAAGATTGTATGGTTTTTTTTTTGTCATTACTATTAGGTATTATATACATAGTATATATAAAAATAAATATATATAATTACAAATAGATATATTTAGTCATTGGCCCAGTTGAACGTTCCAGTTAAACCCCACACAAAAACAAAAACAAACAAAAAGATTTTGAGAATTAATTACGATTTGAATTCTATAAACTCTATACTGATATTATGCAATTTATGTATGTATATGCTTAAAGGTATATATAGGCAAAACCATCACAATTATCATTAAAAACGATTTGTGGATACATAATTTGTAATTTGTGCGCTTAGGCTCTATAAGATATACTTTTCTCATTTGTTATACACTATATAAGTACATTTACCTATAATACTAGTACATCATTTAATATCTATACCTACCTGTATGGCCTATATTATTTAATAATCGAATAGATAAATACTATAAAGGCATGACACGTTGTAAATAAAGCGAAATATAAATATATTTTATCCTAAAGTTGAAACCTTCATGTACGCCCTCTGCACATTTGAATGAAAAACAAAAATATTTGCAAGGAACAATTTGATGGTATGTTCCACGTTAATACGTTAATGCGATTAATTGAAAACTTACGGCTTCTGTATTTGCTTAACTATAAATATATATTATATATCTATCTGATCTGTTGGTCTTACGCGAAGCGTCATGTGCCATTTATCGTAGCCTATTTTTAGCTGCTGCGCTAAAGTGTTGCCTACTTTGAGGCCTGGCTCGCACACACCTTTTGTACATACATACACACACACACACACACAAACACACATACACACACGCATACGATACGTACTTATCATATAATTATTTAAGTTATAAGCGAGCTTTTTGCTAAAATAAAAAGTATGTCGAAAAGGCTCTAAGTCAATTTTTTGTTGGCTGTTGCACAGCTTTCGAATTTTTCACGCAAAACTTTTCTCATTTGCCATAAGGCAATCTAATTTGTTTAATCTGTAGACGTATAGCTATGTATATAAGTGCATGTAAATCGTATATGCCTATAAAATATGTTTTGAAATATAAACTATGAATGTATCGTAACATGATTCACAATTACTATGGGAAACTCAAAGATATTGTTGATAACTGTCTTGTGATGAGCCCAAAACACGTACAACCCAGACAACTAAAACAGATATAACAAAAAAAAAAAAACAAAACAAAATGAAAAAAACAAACAAACAAAGATTAGAATACAAATAAAGCCCATATTTTGTGTGAACAATTTATGTGAACGCCACTGAGCGCAAATATTATACATATTACGTAATTATGTAACAACAAATGAACATTTAACCTAGAGAAGCAAATAGCAACAAAACAGCCCACAGATTAACTTATGCAGACCACAAAAATTATATAAAATCAAAGAGAAATTACGCGAAAATATATACACAATAAATACCTAATATACATATATATATATATAAATGAATATATATGTGTATATATATATACATACACACAGAACCACAGCGATGCAATAAGTTAGAGAGAAATAGAGACAGACAGAGAGAAAGAGTTTTGCAACAAACTTGCAGGCATGATATTTATTTTTCTGTACCGAAATGCAAATTAATGATATCTATGTATCTACAAAAATAAAAATATACAAAACAAAATTTTTAAAAATTATATATACTACATATGGAAATGTATGTGTGAGCAGAAACAAAAGCAACTACTTATAGCTGTATCTCTATATAGATGAATGAGTGCGGCAACAATTAAAGACCCATAATAAAAACTTACAAGTACATATAACTAAATGGCAGCATATCAAATATGTTACAAAATCTCGAGTATTTTCTTATTTGCAATTGGATAATGTTTGGCTTTCTTAAATCGTGAAAAAGGGTAAGCATTTGTGCAAATTTGTATTGGCAATAGTCTTAGCCAAATACTATAGCTAGATACGAATTGGCCACATAGATGGAGCAAATACAATTGTTGGGCTGACAATAAGTTTTGGAAATTCCAATAACTTTGTAGCATATGGCTCTAAGCATTCTATTAAATTATTCGGGATTAATCCGGAAATTAGTTAATGCACATTTCATTAAGAGTTGGGCAGCAAAATTTGCGCCACAAGAGACGTGAAACTGAATCGTTTTGAGTGCTTCAAATACTTTGCTACTTCACAGTCGAACTTAAGTCGAGAACGGCACATTTACAAAATCGTAAGAGGCAACGAAGGAAAATAAATATATATATTAAACACACGGTTAGTTCCCGAACAATCATATTTAATCACGTTGACAATCTGGAATCTAGTTTAAATTTAGATTGATTTCTCAGTATGCTCAAGCTCAAGAGTTTAGTTTTTCACTGAATATGTTAGTTTGCACCCGCGGTAAATTTGGTTGGTTTAAGGAATCTTTGATAAGTTTGACACCCCCCTGATATAAGTAATCAGTTGATAAGTAGTCTGAGCATAAGTCTATAAATTTCCAAAGCCTTAAACCATCAGAGCATAATCTTAACTACTCTATCAGTTTTACACGCAGTTAAATAAGTTTTTATTAATATAAAAAAAAGAACAATAGTATTGTTGTCTGGTTTTCTTGTTTTTTTTTTTTTTTGCTTGTTTATTTGTTTCGAACATTTTGCATGTTGATAAACAACAAAAAGCAGGGCAGGCCAATTAGTTGGAGTCTTATGTACTACAATTCCTACTCACAGACTAATTTCTGGACGAGCTGAGCATTGTTGGAGATGTTCGCAATCAGGTCTGCAAGCCGGGCTTGAAACAAACCAATTTGAGTCAGGAACTCTAATATACCTTTAAGCTATAAGCCGAGGTTTAAGCCAAATACATTTTTTTTGGTTGGTTTTCGATTCTGATAACCAAAAAAACTTTGAAAACCATACAAGAAATCAAAATCAGAGTTTCACGATGAGGAAAACTCATGACCCGAACCAATAGACAGGGAGTTGGTTCAAGCCGCGATCTGAACCACCGACAATTGTTTTTTTTTTGTTATGTCTACGGAAGGCAGTCTGTATTGTTGATACACCTGGCATGATGGGGGCAGGTTGACAAATATTAAAACTATGCTGAAAATAGATTTATTAACTAAGCAATTGTCTTCACTTGAGAACATGTGGCTACGTTTGAGCTCATACCGAGTTCGGTTCAGTTATGATATTATACTGGCTTCCATAATGAACTTATTGATTGTTTTGGTAAATGTAAAATATTGCTAATCAATGCCTGGAATACAGATGCTCGGCAACTGGCAAACAGAGTTGATGGCATGTTTCGCGTGTGTTTAGCTTATTGGTATAACTTTTTATATTTCTATTAAATATACAAAAAGAAGTTAAATAAATAAAATACAAGTTAAATAATTATGAATGCCTTGCCATATTTTCACGTTTGTGGACACCTTCTTCAGCGACTACTATATAAGCCAAGACCAGAGGCACATTGGCAGTTACGTATTTAGCCATGTTGCGCATTGTTTTGGCAATATTTTCGGCGCTGCCTCTGGTCTTTGCACAGACGAATTACTGTGCCAATAGCCTGTGCGGCACCGCGACGCACATTGCATGCAACAACAATGGGGTAGGTCTATTCGAAATGCATGTGTGGCCATGTTGCCAGCCAATTGACTGTCGATTTCTTAGGCCTGGGACGCCAGCTGCCCGACAAGTCCGGCGCCCTTTGTTATCGACATGAATCTGGACCTGAGGCAACTTGTGGTGCGGCTGCATAACGTCAGGCGCAACAATCTGGCTCTGGGCAAGGTGGCCAATTACGGGCCAGCCCGTAGAATGGCCACCATGCGCTGGAGTCCAGAGCTGGCCACGCTGGCAGCCCTGAATGTGCGCCAGTGCGCGATGGAGCATGATGCTTGCCACAATACGAACAAGTTTAAGGCCAGCGGCCAAAACTTGGCCATGATTTCCTACACGGGCGCACAGGCGAGCCGTACCAACGCGGACCTGCTCACCTCCTCCATCAACAGCTGGTGGAGTGAGCTCAAGAATGCGAACATGGTGGTTATCAACAGTTATCCAAGCAGCTGGAGCGGAGGGTAAGTAACAGCAGAAGCCATCGATTGATCAATTCAATTCTTCCGAGTCTAACCCTCTACACTTCTTCTCCTGCTTCTCCTGCTTCTCCTGCCAATCCACGCAGTCAAATTGGCCACTTTACTGCCATGGCCCAGCAGGCGAACATTGCCGTTGGCTGCGCTGCCGCCAGATATGTCAAAGGCGGCTGGAATAATTTCCTCTTGGCCTGTAACTATGCTACCACAAACTGGATCGGCGAACCTGTCTACGTACGTGGACCGACAGCTGCAGGCTGCAATACGGGCACAAATGTCAACTATCCGGGTCTCTGCAAGGTGGCCGAAGTCTACAATGTCTAGATCACGTTTTGTATAAATAAAAATCTTTTGCAATCACAATTTCACTTGTTATTGTTACGATTATTTGGTTATTAATATTTAGATCTACTCCAATCAATCGGTAATCGTCTAAAATAGAGCTTATAGTATATTTTCATGCTCTTTAATCAGGAGAAACTTGCAGTTTTAGTTTTCTTATGAATCAGAAGAAGACCATCATTAATGTTGAAAATGGCCAGCACACGTCTGCCCATTCACCATCCGTTCGTGCCCGTGCCCCCACACACAATCCATTATAAATCCATTTCAAAGGGAGTCCTCTGGGCTTACTCAATTCTCATTACTCATTACTGATCTTGTGGCTCACAATAATTGGGCTTCATAGAAATTGTCTTGCCTCTAATGCACTTGTGAAAAAACGTCTGTTTTAGTTAATTCAACACATGTTTTCTAATTGAAATTAACAAGTATTCTGTCTTCCATCTACTTGTGGGCTCAAACCAACTATGTTGACGCTCAACTAAGCTACTAAGCTACTAAATCAACATTTAAGAATTGACAATTGCTGCCGAATTTGAACAAGCGACTGTTCGCATGTTAGTCTGCGCTCAGACACCTGGTCATGATTTTCGACGATTTTCTTTGAAAACTTTGAGCAGCGTTTTGCCCCCACTTGGGAGTCGAATTAAAAAAGAAAAAAACAACCGACTTTCTGCACACTTTCAACCCAGTTTTAGTAAAAATTTCAGCTTTGTGGCTTTTACGGTTTGGGCTACGTTCGATCTGGAACTCTTTTATGTAATGGATATATATATTTTTAAATTTTATTATTTTCCAAGATTATATATTATATGTTCGCAGCAAAACTCAATTTGTATGTTCTCTTATGCCAAACGTTGCACATTAGAAAGAGAGAAATAACTTTTAAATATTGCCTTAATATGCGAATTTCGAGAGTTCACGTATGGCTTGCAGGCTTTCCTGCTCTGATTATTATCAGGGAGGATTATTATAAGTAAAACAAGTAAGAGGTTCTAGTCGGGACTAGGGGATACCCTGAACCCTCTTCTTCCGACAGGCGATAGGTTTAAAATGAAAGATACTTGATATTTATATACTATTCTAGAAGCTATATGTCAAGTTTGGTGACTCTAGCTCATATTATTTGCCGAAATTGCTCAAAAAACAGGAATTCGATATCGATTTTTATCGATTACTTGGAAACGGGGCCATTTTTACACATTTTTAATGGGTTCAGGGTATAATGATAGAATTAGTATATTTGTACTGATGTGTGTCTATGTATGTATGTGTGTGTTTGTATAGTATCCTTTTAAAATTGGCCTTTTGCGAATACCTCTCCCTTACTCTCTCTCTCTCCCTCCCCTTTCTTTTTCTCTCCACCCGTTCTGTCCTCGCTCTCTCACTATTTCTCTATAGTAAATATCCTATATCCTTTCTTGCTCCATCTCTTACACTAATCCAGCCCGCACTATTGTTCTTTACCTGATATGTACAGCAAACACTATCATAACGAACGCTCCTATTAAGCGGACATGCCTCTTGGGCGGACAATATAAATCAGGCTGCCCTCATTCCTCCTCGACCGTGCGGACAGAATTACCCAACGATCGCTGTCCGTCCAAGGGAGAGTTTTTGCTTCATATATTATAGAACTTGAATCGTGGGTGTGCCAGTTAATTTGTTTTAATACTTTTGTTGAAGTTCGGTTAGCTAATTTGCTGTTGCTATTTGTAGAGCATTGCCACAGCGTCAACATTTGTGTTGGACAAGTAAATATGGTCAAGGCACGTGTCTTCGCCTTTCTCGCTTGCGTTCAAACATTCTCTCTTGTTGCATGCCATCTCTCCGTCGCGTGTTGTAGCATTGAGCTTTGGGTAGGCATTGAAAATTCGCACGTCGGCATATCCACTTCTTCTGGACATTCTCGGCTGTGGATTCGGTGAGTTATCAGAGTGCTTTATCTTTAGCTGCTGGTGACGTCTTTTACTGTTGGGCTCCATTCGGATATAAACGTTTGCATATCATTGTGAGAACTGAGCCAACTTTGAAATAAATATTTGATCAATTGTTACGCCCGCTAGATAAAGAAGCCCGCTGCCAGCACAATGGGTATAAAAGTAAGAGCCGCAGCCACAACTGGCAACAATCGAGCCAGGCTACCGAAATGCGCAACATACTATCCATAACAGCTGTAGCCCTTCTGCTGGGCATCGCCAGTGGCACGGACTACTGCCAAACGAGCTGTGGCAGCACCAAGAACATTGGCTGCAACAACACTGGGGTGAGTGGCAATCGAATGGCGCGTTCTATCTATGACTAACTAGCGTACTGATTTTATTTAATTGTAGGCCTGGGGATCGGCATGCCCCAGCGATAAGGCCTTGGTGGATTTTACGACGTCCGATCAGAACGCGATTGTCGCCAAGCACAATGAATACCGTAATTTCATTGCCGGCGGCGGAGATAGTAAGCTGTCGCCCGCCTGCCGCATGGCCACCATGCAGTGGAGCGACGAGCTGGCCTATCTGGCCTCCCTCAACGTCAAGAGCTGTCAGATGAGTCACGATGGCTGCCACAATACGGACGACTTCAAATGGTCCGGCCAGAATCTGGCCTGGATCGGCTATTTCAATCCGCTGAACGCCACGGCCAATGCTATCAGCTCCGTGACCATGTGGTACAACGAGGTATCCAATACCCAGCAGTCCCAAATCGATGCCTATCCATCCAACTACAACGGAGCCACCATTGGCCATTTCACCGTTATGGTCGCCGATCGCAACACGCGCGTGGGCTGCGCCGCATCCACCTATTCGGTTTCGGGTCAGTCCTACAAGGCCTTCCTCATGGCTTGCAACTATGCCGCCACCAATGTGATTGGCGTCAAGATGTACAACTCGTGTACGGTCGGCGCCAGCAAGTGCACCACGGGCGTCAATCCCAGCTACAAGTTCCTGTGCAGCACCAAGGAAGTCTACGATGTCAACAACCTTGACTACTGAGGCTCACGTAACATTTTTTTGAAATAAACTTAATGCATAATAATAAATATGGGTTCTTCTAATTGGAATTCGGCAATATTGATTTTGCTTATCCAGCAACAGGAAACAGCTCTTCGGCTTAAAATAATCCTTTTAATTAACTGAGCAACATAATAAATAGCCACACAACGAAGTTCAGACTTAGCATTTCGATATCCTTTACGGATGTATAATAAGGCCCTTATAGATCTGTCTCTCTACTGCTTTTCCTTATGACTATAATAATTAAAGAAATCAAATTTTATATAACATGCGCACATTTCCTTCAACATAGTTTAAAGCAGCGAATTTGTTTAAAGTTCGCCTCTCTATGCGATTTTCATGTACTCTTGCTAACCTCACAGACCTTGATGTCACTTTTAAATGTATAAGCTCATATATATTGATTGACGAACTGATTGCTGATCAGCACAAGAACTGGATAGTTGAAAAGTTTACAGTCGTTATTCTTTTAATTTACTGGTTTTTGGTGAATTCCACCCGCAAATGTGGAATATTGATGGATAATGATTGCATTCAATTTTTTCAATTTGTAAGTTGCACACGCATTTTTACAGATCTCTGTGAACTTTTATTTGTACTACTCGGAAGATCTACTTTTAAGTTTGAAAGTTCAAACTCTTTTTTAACAATGTATGTCTAAAATGTTATTTAAAATAGGATTAACCAATTGCAGAAATGAATTGAGCAATTCTGACCTGAAACCGGGCTCTCCCAGTACAGGAATATGAATGCTAGGGAAGTATCAACGTGATACAGGGTATTTTCTATTTGTGCAATTAAGTCAATTGCAGCGTAATTTGTTTTCCAAAAAACAAGAAAAACATTGCGTTCGTAAGAAGCAAAAATATGTGTGGTCTTATCTTTCGGAAAGCCCCTCTGTAGTATGATAGTAGAGATTCTTCGAGCACATTTCTGAATGAGCTTCAAGTTTACGCTTAAAAGAAATTAATGCTTTTGAATGGCGCATGAGATAACTCGCAAAGATAACTTAAAGATAAATATCAAAATATTTGTATATGAATTATTCAACTCGTGCTGGCAGCGTTTTACACATTTCTATTTTTTTTGGCCCGGAAATGTTGCATACTTTTATGTGCCAGCGTTTCATTCTGAGCTGGACAGGTTCAGCCTATAAAATAAATTAAGTTGAACAACGACGGCAACTCTTTGAAATTGTAATCCGATTGACTTAGCAGGGGCTTTAACACCAAGATTATTAATACCTTGTTAAAATATGTAAGATATTCCAATTATAGCTACAGCATACTTTTCAACAGGCCATGGGAAATGATGTAAAAAAATCTGTTAGTTATTTAATGACCAATTCGCTGTGTAAAAGATATATAATCAGAGCAAATTTCTAGCAGTTTTCATTAAAATAATTCAATATTAATTATGAATTCAATTTTATTAAGATATTTGTATACCCTTCTGGTATTGCAGATGTATGAGAAGCTCGTAAAAGCTAAGTTTGATTAAATATCTGGCAAAACAGAATATTTTGGCGTACATAAATTCATTTTGCTACCGATTCTCCCTATAGTGCTATATAATATAGTGGTGCGATATTGATGGGATTCGGTTCATTTGTCAGCATCATAGTTTAACTAATAAATGCCGAGTTTGTTCAAGATAACTTTAAAAACAAAAAAGTTCGATCGTTGATATGGAAACTATATGATTTAGTGGTCAGATCCGGCCGGTTACGACATATGTAAAGCAACAGAAAATGGACGTATGCAAAGTTTCGAGATGATAGCTTCAGAACGGATGAACAAGTTCGCATAGAAACAGACAGATGGAGAGATGGGCAGTCGGATGGATTAAGAGACGTACAGACGGACGGACGAATAAACAGGTGGAAGGACAGACGGACAGACGAACAAATATGTGTACCTTTTGGAGTCGGAGATGTCACCTTTGATGCGCTACACATTTCATAACAAAATTACA